GGTTTGGGGATTAGGGTCTAGGATTTAGGGTTCGCGCTTAGTGCTTTGGATTCAAGGTTTAGGGTTACCATGGGACCAATGAGGGTGACCATGGGTGGCCTTTTGGTCGTTGAGTATAGTTCCTAATATATTCCTATCAAGGACCCCATATCCAAAAGACATATATGGAGAAGTATCACATAAGTATGCGCGTGGGGATTGGGAGTGCGGGATTTAGATGTTTTAGAGCTTAGGTTTCAGGATTGCTTTAAGATTTGAGAGCAGGTGGCTGTGGGGCCTGGGTTTTTGAAAGCATATATGTTCATGACTTTTGATGTCTATCTATACCTATATCTATATCTATATCTTTATATATATGTGTGTATATATATATACACATATGTATTCCAAGACAGGATGCATAGTCCAATAAAGGCGTCATGGTATAGATCATAGGGATGTTGAGCATATCTTCATTTAATGCTCATGTGAACAATACAGGATTAACATTAGCTCCTACTACGCTTATGCTATAGGAGCACTGGCTTTTTGTATAGGAGGTTGTGTGTTTATCGTGGGCTCATTATGTAATTCACGTATTTCACTGCATGTATTTAATGAACTTACGTAAATCCTTATGCTAGGGTGTGAATCGCTGCTTGGCCCAAGCACCCTAGAAAACCATGGGTATGGCCTTAGCAGACCTGGGTCGGAAAACCACCTCTTCTGTAAGATTTAGGGTTTACGGTTGGAGACTTGGTTGAGAGTCTAGGATTTAAGGTGCAGGTCTTTGCGATAACCATAGCCTCCCTTTGGGAAAGAGAGGATATATCTAGTGTTAGCTGGCTGAACCACCAAAGAGCAGTAGCCAAATGACGTCAAATCAGAACGGCGTTTATAGGCAATTGGGTTATAGGGATGTACAGGCTTGAGGCTTCGGGTTGGGGGTTCAGGGGGTTACCGAGCTTACTGGTGGTGAGAAGGGGAGGAAGGCATTTGCTAGGGGTGCTATGACTGGAAACTGCTCTGGGATTACTGGCGTCCATTGTTCCATTCCCTAGGACCCCTGAACACTAAATCCTAAACCTCAAACACTAAATCCTAAACCCTAAATCCTAAACCGCAAGCCCTAAATCATAAAGCAGAAATCCTCAAGCCCAGAATATACAGAGCTGTATAGGGCCAAAAGCAAAACTCAAACATGAACCCTGTACCGGTTCGATTTGCCCTATACCCTAAACCTTAAGCCCTGAATCCTACACCTGGCACATTGAATCCCAGACTCTGAAAGCTAAATCCGACACCCTATTCACTAGTTGAGGGTTTGGGGTGTCAGGTTTCAGGTTCGTTTTTTTCAGGTGCCGGGTTTGGGCCCTAATGAGCGCTGATGAGGGGCATAGGGTGTAGATTTTAAAGCTTTGGGTTTAGTATCTACAGAAATTGTCTAGGCTAGGAGGAACCCCCACCCTGTAATAGCGGAATAATAGGATTATAAGAGGACCCTAATATAGTCACCATTATTCCTTAGTCACTATTACAGGGTGGGGAGTCCACCTAAGGTTTAGGATTCATAGAAACTGTTTAGGGTTCATATCCGGAGCTTTGGGCGTAGTTTTGTGACCCCAAACCCTAAACCCGAAACCCTAAGCCTTTTGCCTGTTGGCCCTATACATGTGCTTTTGTTCTGAGCCTGAGAGTTTACTTGGAGGGTCAGGGGGACTTAGTAATGGTGGAAAAGGAAATGGAAGTTACTATAAAATTTCGGGTTTAGGGTTTAGGGGGGACTTACAAATTAGTAAGTGGAGGCCATCGTTTTTCGATATCAGCGACAGCTCGTGGCTTCCGGTGTTGGGGTATTACGGTCGCGCCGTGTTCCCAACGGATTCGCCAGCCCTAAACCCTAAACCCTAAGCCCTAAACCCTAAACCCTAAACCCTATCCTAGACGGATCTGAGCCTCATCACATTTCTGCAACAGAAGCAGCCAGGCGCCTTGGTAGAAGATACGGCAGTAAAGAATCCGACTCAAGACCCGTTGGTTTAGGGTTATAGGGTTTAGGGTTTAGGGGTTTAGGGGTTTAGGGTTTAGGGTTTAGAGTTTCGGGTTTAAGGGTTCAGGGTTTAGGGGTTTAGGGTTTAGGGTCTTTGACTGGCTTTACAGCTGGCAGAACAAGCATTACAAGTCCAACAACTTGATCCAGGACCAGTGATTGTCCCGCTTTGTTGACCTTGTGAGAGGTACTGACGGTCGCTATATGCTAAGGACAAGTCAATAATGGGGATAACTAACTTACTAAGTCCCCCTGACTCTCCAAGTAAGCGTCAGGGCTTAGGATTTAGGACTTGGGGTGTCGGGCTTAGAGCTTACAGGATCAGCCTTGTGTTCGCGCGGAATGGGTTAAGGTCTAGCGACCCTAAACAATAAACCGTAAACCTTCCAAGCTTAAAACGCTTCACCGTCGTCTTTTGCAATCTAGTACACAGGTTTCAAGTTTTAGTTGGCGCTCAAAGGCTCTGGAAGGTCAGGAATTTTAGGTGCGCAGTTTCCGGCATTCTATATCCCTTGAGCACTATCTATTCAGGAGTCTTGAAGAATACATGTAGGCTTCCTGCAGGTAATAGGTTCAGAAGAACTAGTTGTTAAGTACTTTACTCCTAAGTTTATTCGTAAGCAAGTGGTACGCCCCACGATTAGAAAACACTATGAGCTTTGAGTTCCGGGAACTAGTCATATGAAGCATGGTAGCAGCTTTCATGTTGACCAGTAGTATAGTCCCAGATTCCTTGTATAACCATGGTATGGGTACTTGAAATGGACTTGATTTATGTTGTCAATTATTTTGGCCCCTACAGTTTCCAGGAAAACCCCAAGCCCTAGAACCGCTGCCAAGGGCACCAAAGCCTAAGCGTTAACAACTTTGAGTTAAGAGCTCACAGTTTGAGGTTAGCCTTATCCCTCTATAGGGTTCTTGTGGTCTGAGAGCCTACACTCCCCCAAACTAACATGGAAACCCATATAGCCCCCCTTTTAAGGGACTGTAGTCTTTATAGCCCCCTTTTTGGGTTTCCATGTTAGTTTCCGGGAGGGTATCCTGCACGCATCAGGTGTTTGCGGGCTACGATTGGCATCTCGGCCCAGCCTCTTGCGCCAGCTGAAGGGATGCGATGGAGGAGGACGAGGAGAAGGAGGAGAAGGAGGAGGAAGTAGGAATGTAGGGGACTAAAGAAGAATAATGGAGGTTCAAATGGAAGAGGAAATGGAACACAAAGTGCACTATGGGCTATAGGCATTGGGATTGCATGTAGGGGGCTATTTCCCTACATGCTGCACTTTCCACATAAGCCCAGAAGAGGCACATATGGTCCTTATAACCCTACGACTCGAAAGACAGACGCCCCCTTCCCTCGGCCCTTCTTTACGCATCCAATCCTGACTTGAAAAGTTCCCAGAAGCATACGCTCTTGCATTATCAACCATGACGCAACCCTGCATTCAGAAGGAGATGCCATTATGGCCAGGGCTTGCGATTTTTAAGCTGGGTTGCTGTTAGGGAACTTAAGGCAAAGTAACTGTAATAAGGAAGCTCCACTATTTAAAGTATAACCATACTTTGGTAACTTGATCTAAGTTCATGAGCAGAAACCCAGTAAAGCCAAACTGGAGGTAGCTTGGCATGATCTTTGTTTAGGGTTTAGGGTTTTGGCAAGCCGCCACAAACTTTGCAGACCGAACTTTGGACCCTCAACTTGCACTTTATACGCTGAAGCCGAACCCCCCCAAGCCGCGCAAAAACCCTAAACCCTAAACCCCATACTTTAGACCTCAAATCCTAAACCCTACTCCCATGACATCAGGTATCCCGCCATGTCCAAAGCAGGCGGGCAAATGAACGGAAAACACCAGTGCCCCGAGGAGGCCAAAGGGCTCTTGGATTGCAGCGGCCTAGGCCCTAAACACTAAACCCCCAAACAGTAGGCGGTTTTGGGTTTAGGGTTTAGGGTTTAGGGCCTAGGCCCTAAACCCTAAACCCCCAAAACACCAGGCGGTTAGCTAAGGGATGAGTATATGCCATATGGGGGCCGTCAACATGGTGTTCTCGTCTTGGGGCTACCTACATACTAGGGGTTGTATGATAACAGAGACTCAACAAAGAACCACAACTTTGGCAACTGTTTAGTTACGATTTAGGGCTTACGTAGGCCCCCCTGTATACAAACATGCATCCCTAAACTGTTCTCCGAAACCCCAAACCCCTGAAACCTAAACCCTGCCGAGTAGCCAATGTACCTGTACAAGAAACGGTTTCGTACCTAAGATCTTGGTATCTTTACCTTGTTCTTAGGAGTCTAGTGTCCAGGTTACTAGGTACACCCTGAACTGTAAACCCCAAATCCCTTAAACCTGAGCCCTGTACCCTACCCTAAACCCTACACCGTAAACCACACCCTAAACCCTAAACCCTGCCTTACCCGGACCCCTTGGGCGAGGCGCTCAACGCTTTCGCTCCGCACTATTTCGATCGCAGCCACCAGGACTGGACCTCGAACAAAGACGTATCAGTTCAGGTTTGATCTATATAGTTTAGTCTAGACTCCTCCAAGAGGGTTATATAGGAGATTACATAGGGTTTAGGGCTTAGGGTTCAGGGCACTTTAGAGGGTTGGTATATAGGCGATTATACGGGGTGTAGTGAGGATTTAGGGTTACGGGTTTAGGATTTAGAGGAATTGCTTGGGGAGTAGAAAGGTGTATCCAAGAATTATTGAGGATTGAGGGTTTATAGGGACATGGTATATATATATATATAGATATAAATACCTAGGACCGTCCATCTACCCTGAATACCCACTATTAGGTGCCATATGTCCCTTTTTGAGGGTACGAGGAGGGCTGGTTTCTACATACCGGTGGCTGGTAGGGAAATAGTTTTTTTTTTTTTTCTAGTGTTTAGGTTTCAGGGCGTGTAAGATTAGAGGGCCCAGAGGTTTTCTAGCCACAGACCAGATTTCTGGGAGGATCTAGAAAGTAGAACCCCTATTATGGTACCTCATACTACTATTAGGCAATTTCTTGGAACCCTTAAGAGGATCGACTTTCTAGATTTGCCCAGGGGTCTGGGGGACTTTTAGGGTTTCGGCGCCTGGGAAGCCCACAAAGTGGGCTAAACCCTAAACCCAGAAACCTTAAACCCTAAGTCCTAAACCCTAGACCCTAAACCCTAGACCCTAAACCCTAAGTCCTAAACCCTAAACCCTAAACCCAGAAACCTACCCTGAAAAGTCGACAGTCCTTCGGAAAAGGGGCCTAGATGGGTTTCCATGTTACAAAAAGCCTCTAGGTTCCTGTGTTGTATTTTATAAATATGTTTAGGGTTTAGGGTTTAGGGAATCATTACCTGGACCCCAAAAGTATGTAAAATGATGGCCCCTATGGCTATTGTTATGGGTTTAGGGCCATTATTTTACATACTTTTGGGGTTCAGGTAATGGTTAGGGTTTAGGATTCAGATTTTAGGGTTCTGGGTTTAGGGTTTAGGGTCCTGAAGTTGCTACATAGGAATCCCTTTCAGGCCCAAGTATGTATTTTACCGATACCTGGATCTGTTGACTTTTGTGGCAGAGTGAGGTAAAGATGCCACAGCATTAGGAACAAAGCACCCTTTCTGTGGGTACATTATGTTTGGTGCAATGGTGACTCTATGTAGGGTCTGGGGTTGTAAGAGTGTAGGTGTCGAACCGACAATTTCCGATTTTAGCTCGTGCAGAAAAGTTTACTAGCGGGGAGGGAAGTTTGCCCAATGAGGATTCGCCCAGCTTAGGTCCTAAGATTAGTGGAGCTCCTAGAAAAGGACCGGGTAAAATAATAGCCCAAAACCCCAATAATAGCCCAAAAAGGCACTTATTCTACATACGTCGTGGGTCCAGGTACTGCTTTCGGTATTAGAGTGTTGATCTATAGATTAGGTGGACCCACCACCCAGTAATAGTGACTATAAGGGATAATCGGGATTATATCAGGGTCCTCTTCTATTCTTGTTATACTACGATTACAGGGTGGGGGGTCCTCCGAATCTATAGATCTGAAAAGTTGTGAGTCGCTGTGGCTTCAGAACTGACTATTCCTTGAACTGCTGGCATGAAGCCTAGATCCTAATCTTACCAGGCTGTAGGGGGGTTGGTTCAAGGGTTTTAGGGTTGGTGTAGGTCCCTGAAGAAAATGGGGTAGGTCCCTGAAGAATATGGGGTTTAGGGTTCAGGGTTTGGGTTTTAGGGTTTAGGGTATAGTCCCCCTTAAGTAGATAGAATATGGGGTCCATGGGGATGTTGTTATAATATTCCCAAGAGCCATATTCTATCTCCTTAAGGGGGACTATGGTAACCCTAGGTATCCCGCCGATGCTCCATGGGTACTTCTGCGCCTTGAACCACGCTCCCTGTACACGACAAAATAAGAAAATCCCCGCAATGGACCCCAGTGACGCTAAAATCCGGAGCACTACACTCCAGATCATACTTGAAGGTTTCTCTAGATCGGTGGTGGCTTGTTGGTCGTCTCCCCTATCCTGCGATACCATAAGCCTTGCAATTCCTCCATCAAAAGATATGTCTAGGGAGAACGAGGCTTTTGGCACTGCTAGTCGCCTTTCTAGTAACTTATTAAATTACCCAAAGGGTCCACATATACAACAATTAGGGAATTAGGTCCCAAAATACCCTACTGTAGAAGGAATTGTGGGTCCCAATTCCCTAATAGTTGTATATGTGGACCCTTCTTTCTGGTTGGGTTAGGGTTTCGCGTTCTGGGGAGGATTCTTGTGAAAATTTGTGTGGTCTCTTTTGGCCTACAAGCCACAGAAAGCCCAATATCTCTTAAGTAGTCCTTAAATCATATATGGGATCCTAAGCCCTAAACCCTAAACCCTAAACTCTAAACCCTAAAACCCTAAACCCTAAACCCTACACCCTAAACCCTCTCTACCTACATATATTTAAACCTTAATGGGTCCGTTGCTCCCGTTTGAGACCTTAGGGGCTTAGGTTTTAGCTTTTAGCTTTTAGGTTTTAGGTTTCAGCTTTTAGCTTTTAGGTTTTAGCTTTTAGGATTTAGGGTTTAGGATTTAGGATTTAGCCCCTGAAGGCGAGGCCTTGGAGGCCCCTGGAAGTCTCAGGCGCCTGGAAAGCCCCTAGGCCCCTGAAAGCCCCTAGCTTTCTGGAAGCGCTCTGTGGAAGGTTTTTGCCCCTGAAGGCGCCTGGAGGCCTGGAGGCCCCTGTGGAGGCCCCTGTGGAGGCCCCTGTGGAGGCCCCTGGAGGCCCGCCTGCAGCGGGCCTCACAAAATATTATCAATTCAGGAAAACGGTAATTAAGTTGCTGCTTCATTTTCAATTTAAATACAAGTCAAGAAAACGGTAATTAAGTTGGTGCTCCATTTTGAAATTAAATAAATCAATGGCGTGAAGGCTGTTGAGATACTGTGGATGCTAGGAAACGGCGTGTTAATGTTTGATGCTAGGAAACGGGTGTGTGAATGGATCTT